ACACGAAAAGGACTCTGTTAGCACTTAATCCAGTGGCTAAAAATTCATTTTATATTTGTGCAATGCATTATATATATATTATATAGTATATATATATATATATATATATATAGGCTACATAAATAACTTTATGAACAGAGGGCCATTGTGCTAAACATAAGATAATGTGTATCTCATGCAAATAATTATTCTTATGCAAATATTCTATTACCTTAATTAGAGCAATTATTAGTTGGATATTGACTATATTTCTTGAATTTGGCGTCATATTACTGTCAGCAAGAAATTAAAAACCATCAATTATTAATGGCAAAAAATATGAAAAAATAAATTTAACATATCTAATGAAATTCACAAAATAGTGATAATTATTTAGAACATTAAAATAATACCAGTTTCTTGCATGATTGTATGTAGCGCATAGAGTGAGACCTGTCCTTATATCAAAAAAAAAAAAAAAAAAAACACATGGTGAGGGTAACAAAATTGTTATGTGAGTCTGGCAGATAATCAATATAAATGCAAAATTGCAAGGAGATTGTGGGGAATTAGAGGGTATAAATTATTAGGACTAAATTGATAAAAAGAAGATCCTAATCTTGACAATTTTTGTAAATAGTCAGACAATTATGCCTATGAATTCTATTTTTTTCGTTATATAATATAATCTCTTTTGATGTGAGACAGCGAAAATGATTTAATAATTTCTAAGAATTAATATATCATGAAAATTAACATATATGACAAATAAAAAAAAATTATATCGAAATTAACATAAAAAAAAAGTTATTGTATAGCGTTTTGCATCGGCCTTAGATCTCCTCATAATTATATCAATAATACATTATCCATAATAAATATAAATCATTTTTTCAAATTTTACTTTTATTTTATTAAATTGAGCAAATAAATTGTCTTGTAATCTCTATTTAATATTTTAAAGGATAATTTAATTAAATTATATGGATACATCTTTATTATTATTTAAGATACAATCAAAGATATTTGTTGAATTGAAGGGGAGTAATTTCTTTTCATTTACAAAACTCTAACTAAAACAAAAAAACAATAATAAATAAAGAGAAAGATTAAAATCATCATAAAAAATGCGTATTTGAGATAGGGGTGCTCCGAAATTTTCCGAGTTTTTTGAAAATACCGGAACCGGCGGTTTTCGATCAGAATCCATATTGTGAACCGAAATTACTTGGCTTAGAACTGAACCATATTGAAGAGGTTTGCTGTTTCTATGGTTTCAGCTTTATATTTTTAAGAATCATTGTGAATAGGTGGTTTAAAAGAACTGGTATCGAAACCGAAGTTTTTTGATAATCGCTTAGAACCACAGCTCAGTTTTCCAAACACATTTTTATTATATTCTTTATCCAAAAATCTTCCACAAATTAACCCCTCTAACATCTAATAAACGGCTTTATTTATAATACTAGTTATAATTAACGAGGATTATGTGTATAGTGTAGATTTTTATTTATATACTTTAAAACTATGTGTAAAAACTATCCGAAAAAACCGTTCCTAGATTTTTGGAACTATTAAGGAATCCACTCAGTAATCATCGTATTTAATCAATCGTTTGCTTTATCTTTTTTTATTACTAATAATAAAGTCTTTGACTATTGATCACCATTAGTTATATTGTAAGATACAACTAAGAAACTTTTTGAAACTGAGAAGTATCTGAAATCTGAGAAACTTTAAATGATTCCTTGACCTATATTTCCTCTTTTGAAACAACTAGTATATAAGTATCTTTCTCTGAGGATGGTTCAGGCCATTATATCAAACGCAGAAGGAATAGAATTTTCTTGTGAAGATCCGCCAACTTGAAAACAAAAAATTAAGCTCTCTGTAATATGTAATGCGATTATTTTATTTAGCTTTCGAGTAATAAATAAAGAATTTTTAAGTAATATTCCACTGCATATGAGTTGCTCACTTGTACAATATGATTAAGCTACCTCTATATATAATTATTGATAAGTTCCGAACGGTGAATTGATTTGTTTCTGGTTGTGTGTAGCGCAGGTACTAGTTTCTTTTATTGTTTTAATTATTTTTTCTACAATAAAAGGTACATTTATATTTTCCGTGTTTCTTTTTTTTTTATAAGGTATTATTTTTTCTTTTATTTTTCTCAAGCTATAAATTACCAATTTTTTAAATTTTACATTCTTTATTTTATTATTAGATAAAGTAATGTTGGAAAGTGGTATTTATTTTTTATATTATTTATAAGTATTATCATTATTGCTCGATATGTTTTTTTTTTTTTTTTGTTAACTGAAAGATTGGAAGCTTAATTATTGATTAGTATCCATCAAAAATTATTATCATGAATAAAAGAAAGATAATTCATGATCCATTATGAATCAAGACATAGAACCTAGCAGGTTTATGAGCTGATCAAGTTGCGTTGGCTATGACTCACTTGGATCTCTTTAACAAAAGCAAATGATAAAAAAACTTGAACTCCTTGTATAATAAAGTTTTTTACAATTCAGCTGTAATAACGTTAAGAGAAAAAATCAAATATGACTTTGGTTTGACTCTCGGATAATGACCACAACAACTGTGACTCGATCCACCTTCTAATGTAACATTTTTGGGTATCGTGTTATTTTTCAACCAACTTTAGAGCTTCGCTTTGTATCCGTCGTTCTCTTGTCTGAATTCAGAGCAGCCTCACACACACTTATTTACACTTTTCGGCACGTAGCTATCATAACACATCTTCCCCTTCGCTTATCTCTATACCATGGCATTGTTCCTGACTCCCGCCATGTCATCCAAATATTGTATAGTTTTGCGTGTTTCGTTTTCTATTTAAATTTAAAGGAGATTATATATGTGAGTGCAGAACAATAATTTAGTTACATTTTTATATTTAATTTTCTCTCTATTTTGAAAAACCAATGCAATAATTGATTCTTTCCCTTTATTTTTCTCTCAGTTTAATTTTTTATGGCTGTCAATATTTTAGACTATAATATAAAACTTTTTATCTCAGTGTTATTAGTCTCTCTTTTCGGGGTTCTTCACTAATTTGCAATTTTTTTTATACGAAAAGAGTGTCATTACAAGCCTATTTCTCATTTTCTTCCCCTTTTCCTGTCTCAAAAATCATTTCCTAAGCTCTTAACAATCCACTTTGAGTAATAACGCCTACCTTCAACCTCACAGCAACCCCCCACACCTCCTCTGGCAACTTTGGACATTTTAATGTTATTTCTGTCCCAAAACTGACCTACCAAAAATCAATTGGCTCACTCACCCATATACTCTCCCAACACTAGAAATTATACCCAACCATGGTTTACTCAAAAAACACACCAATTGAAACATGAGAACCTCTCTTTTGTCGCACCCAACGGAACCACTTTCCTTTCTCTTTTACTTCTTTTCAAGAAAATTGGGTGAGATGAAGATTTTTTCTTTATTATTTTATTTCAATTTTAGAGACCAAAGAAATGGCTTAACCTACTTAAATTCAATTGCTTCAGCTACATGCCATTAAACTCTGTCACTATTCTTCATATTCTTAAAAATCTGTTTACGCAAAAAATTATAATAGACAACAAGAACTCAACTTTTTGTCATCGTTTCCAATGAAAATTAAATAACATCCTTGCAGAACTAGAACTACCATAATTCTTCCTGTGTAATCATAAAGTTGAGCAACAATGTTTATAAGTAAGTTCTTAACTTTTAATTTACATAATATTTTGATGTAGAGGAATTTGGGTTTTACGTTCTTTCTTAGGTCATTTTCACACAAATATATTAGATGCTTGTTTTGCTTTTGTTGGAGTTTTTGTGCCATACGAAATTATTAAATATTTGGACATATTCTATCCTTGTGTCCGCTTAAATGTATTTCATTGGAGAGGGTAAATCTTATAAAAGTGGAGTAGAGATAAGAAAATCCATACAGAATTAAAATCTACATAGATCATTATTCTCATTTTAGCGTATGGAAAAGCTTTTGATATTAATTCCATTTCAAAATTAGCTCAAAACAAGAACCATTGTTGGTAATATATGTACTGCGTAAGTGCTAATCCATGGTGCAATTCATTTCAGATCCCTTCGCCATCTTTTTTTCAACTACCGAAAGACAGATAACAGGCCATCTGTTCATTATGAAGTGTCAGAATAATTTATGGTATTTAGGAGTTTCCCTCTATTTTAAAATCAACAACGAGTTAAAAGAAACACTTTCAATACCAAAATAACTCACTTTCAATCAATTAAGTGCTACACATATTCTTTTTTAGTGGCCATCAAATAGCCTTACTGTACCATTATAGAATTTGGCTAATACAGAAGCTTCTACAATCATCTCTATTCTTATAGCAATAATTTACTAAACTCCTAATGACATAGTCTATAATATTGTAGTAAATGGAAATATTATAAAAATAAAAAAACGCTATAATACGTGAAATCAT